AGTCTGTCGCCTTCGTAATTTTGCGACAGAGGGAACGCTGGAAAAGTTTGAAGCGCTCCGCGTTTCCCGCGATCGATAGTGTATCGGTGCTCGAAGCAATTAGCGGATGCCGTTTTTTGCCACGGTTTTACGAGAGTAAATTGTGGTTTAATTGTTGAGGGAACTTTCGGGGCGCCTCGGAGATTCTTGGCGGGAGTTTGAAATGTTGGGATCGAAGTGGGTAAATAAGTAAATTCCATATTTTAAACTAATAATTTCTCTATACCATAAGATATGCCATTTCTCCGGTAATTTGAAAATCTCACTTTGCCAAAAACTTTGTTTCCCTTTTCTTCAGACATTCGCTTATTTTTCAAAATACGTACCAGCCTTTCACCGTTTTCCTGGCAATTTGGAAACTCCGCTTTGCCCAAAATTTAGTTCGACTTTTCTCTAAACAATACAATTTTAATCACAACTGGTTTAATCATATCTGACGTACTTATTGCTCACGACAGCCCGTCGTAACTTGGCCAAAAACATTTTTACCATCAGCGTTCGCGAGACACGCGAAGCACAAGTCGAAGTCGGAGCACGCAAGAGGTAGCAAGTTTGTTTTAAATTGAAACGATCCAAAGTACCGAGCAAGTTGAAAGCGATAAGAGCCCCTAACAGCTCCCACTTTTATTCCTAGTCACTTGTTTCCCTCCGATTATCTATCCGTGAAAAGGTACACACGATAGTTGGAAAGAAAAGTGTCTCTCCTATTGTCTTCCATTTCCACGGTTATTCCAGACAGCGGAATTTAGTATCGGATTTTCCTGGAATACACATTTATCTTGCCTTAGATTGTAGCAAAAAGCTTGCTAGAAACTATAGCGGGAGAGAACCCCTTATGGGTCTCTTATCTCGTCTGGCACCATGGTCAGCGGCGGCCATTACGCTACATTAGGAAAGCCGATTTTATGGTTTTCTTTTTTAGAGGGGCAATTTTCGGGGATTACATAAATCGACAAGCGTTACACGCAATACCAGTCGAACGTGCTGCAATCTCGTTTTTATAACACACGCTGGTCGAATCGACTTTGCTGTTCTCGTAATAAGGATTGATTTTATGGGTGGTTAGCGTCCTCGAGGAACACTTCTTGGGAAAGTGCTTCGACGACTTGGTGTTTCGAATTGAAATCTTCAGGGCTAAATTTTTAAGGAATAGTTTTAATATAATTTGTAATTGTTGTAATAGAAATTAAAGGCTTTCAGAATGTTGTTCTTAAGATCTATAGCTAATAGAATTAATTTTTTAGCGCCTCTTGCTTTGTCATAGTCGTTTCATGTAGAATTCTTTCTCTGATGCTTGTAGAAGTTGGGTTAAAAATTAGCTAATGCTTGTTGATTGAGTAAATTTAGAAAAATTGTATGAAATTTTTCTCTGACACTTGTGAAAGTTAAGTTCAAAAGTCCTTGTTGATGAGTTCTAAGATATTATTTGTCTATTATGGTAGTGTATATTAAAAAATAATCTTGTTATACGTAAGTTTGAATTGGAGTGTTTAGATCTATATAGTTTCAAAGCACTCGAGCATGCGTTGGAGGTGAAAATCGAGGAACCGTTCCCTCCGGTACCATTTAAATGATCCACGGGTTGGGTTGATATTCCTGTGAGCTGCTAATGTTGATTGCGGTTGGCGTTGCAAACAATCCAGACGAAACGGCGCCGCGAAGTTTGCTAGCTCGAATTAAACATGCATCGGACTAGACGGATGAATTCGATTAGGGATCTAGCGTGATGTTATCGGGGGATATACATGTATAACGCGGAACCATAAATGTTTAACCGGGCTAGAGGCTAACTGATATCAGAGTTCGCAACATGGAAATGAAATTGTGCGGTGTACGTTTGAAATATGAAATTTGGACGAGATATGAAATATAAAATATGAAATTCGAAGAAAATTTGAAACGTGAAATATGAAATTTGAAGATTTGGGATTTGAAATACGAAAGTTGAACAAAATGTGAAATATGAAATATGAAATTTGAAATTTGGGATTCGAAATATGAATTTTGGACAAAATTTGACATGTGAAATATGAAATTTGAAAATTTGGGATTTGAAATATGAAAGTTGAAAATTTGAGATTTGAAATATGAAATTTGAAGATTTGGGATTTGAAATATGAAAGTTGCAAATTTGGGATTTGAAATATGAAAGTTGAAAATTTGGAATTTGAAATACGAAAGTTGAACAAAATGTGAAATTTGAAATTTGGGATTCGAAATATGAATTTTGGGCAAAATTTGACATGTGAAATATGAAATTTGAAATTTAGGCTTTGAAATATGAAATTTGAAGTACGAAATTTGTAATTTGGAATTTAAGGTAGAAAATTTATTGAAATAATTTCCCAGGATCGATTTAGAAACGTAGATCCCATGCTTCCTTACTCCACAATTAGCAGAAAATCCATCTAATTACATTACCACAATTAAGCTCCGCCAGCCATGTACTCTCTTCAGGTGTAGTAATAAAAAGTGGTGAAACAAGACTTTATAATTGAGAACCACCTAAGCACTTTCATCACGTGTACAATTATAAACCGAAGCTACACCTATCTAAATCATAACAAAATAATTACATCCCCCCAAAAAACCGCGCACATTACCATAGAAAAATAAAGAAACTAAAGATACACTAATTCCTCACGATAATTACAATACATCCTCCATTAAAAAAAAAAGACAAAAAAAAAACACGAAACAACTATGTAAGGTATACCTACCGCAGAGTATCGTATCATAAAATATTCACTAAACGTCTACTTCTTTTCCTTTTTTCGTGTACCATAAATAACCATGAAGGTATTACGATCGAAACGCGCTAAAGTTGGTTGAAACTCGGCGATGGAAGTTGGGAATATTCCCAGTTCACCAGGGGGATGATCTGAAACTAACGATCTGAGAAGTTCGGTAAATTGCACGTTCGTTAAATTACGTTCGTACAGGATGCATCCTTGGAGCGTCGGGTTCTGATAAGACGTGCCTTAATCACGTAACATCGATTATCGCGAAAGTCGATGCGCGTTATAATATACGTCGCGTATGGTAGCTTTAATTATCGTAACGACCAAGTCGCTAATCCATCCTCCTCGTTGTTCGTCTATTCTGAACTTGGAATTACACCGACGAAGGTAAGTATCTCTCTCTTTCTGATGGTTCTTTCTACGGAAAAAGTCGATCGAGCGGAGCTATTTTACTTGTCCAACAGCAAATCAAGCGTGGAAATTGAAATCCTTACACTACTTCTCGATCACCTGCATCACGAAGCTGTCTTGTCCGCTGTTCGCTTAACCAAACAAGGGATTTTTGTGTGTTTTTTTTCTTTTTCTCTTCTCTCGACACAGGAGTGTTTCTTTTTCTGATAATGTCAAGGCGACGGGCGAAATTGTCATTTTATTTTTCGTTCATTTTCGTCGTGTGTTTCCGACGAACAATGGCACTGTCCAACAATGCACGCGGCTATTACGGCTGCGCCGGAAGTACATTCAACTGTATTAGCTTTTCGAGCGACTTTAATTACGCCCCGTTGAATGAAACTCGTGGGAAACGTATTGCACGTTGAATCCGTGGAAATCTGAATTTCACCTGGACAAAATGTTCGTACATGTTACCGGGAGAGAGTGAATCAGAGAGATTAGTTTGCTATTTAACCCTTTCAGCGATGTTGCCGGGTGTGCAGGGGCTTTGAAAAATTTTCTCGCGCTATGCCCTTCGCGCCTATAGGCGCTTTCGATGTTTTAGGGTAGTGCGTCCTTCGCGCCTATAGGCGCTTTCGATGTTTTAGGGTAGTGCGTCCTTTGCGCCTATAGGCGCTTTCGATGTTTTCTCGCAGTGTAATGTGTTGGGGAATTTTTGCACATTTTTGAGTTAATTTGAGCCTTGAGTTTTGCACTTAGCGCACTTCTATCTTAATTTGATGGAATGACAAACTTAAGACTTGGAAAGTTTTAAAAATTTCAAAATTTGTCACCTTAATTTTTGCCCTTCGCGCACTTACGTCTTAATTTGATAAAATGACAAACTTAAGAATTGAAATTTAAACAATTTTTAATAAGCCTAAACGAGAGATTTTGCGGTCGCGATTGACCTTTCACCTTAATTTAAGCCTTACTTTTGCCCTTCGCGCACTTCCATCTTAATTTAATAAAATGACAAATTTTAAATTTGCCAAAACGAGAGATTTCAAACCCTTTCAAATCTACCGAAGCGAAAGTGTTACTAAATCATTTTCAGAAGTTTATTTACTTATTCCGAAACTTGAACGTCCCATAAACGAATTTTCGAAAGGTAAAATAATATTTATATAAAAAAAAAAGAGGTGTAAGGAGGAACTGCTTTATTTAATTTGCTTAGTTGTGTCAATGTAGTTAACAAGCATGGTTCAGATGATCAATTTGGATAACGATAGCGTAGAGATCATAGTGTACGATAACAGGGCACATTAGGGTCGCATTAGAGGCAATTGCGTTGGCGCGCGCCTCGTTCGAGTTTGTAGATTGCCTCGTCACTATCACCGATACGTCGATCGCGGCCACTGAATTCGAATGGTACACTTCTGACAAGAGAGCACTTGCACGAGTACTTTGCAAACATGGCAATACACCTTGGAAGCGCCTTACGCGAGCATCGAGTACGAAACGAACGAATTTCGTGTGTTAAGAACTGTACGAATAGATTTTGAGATTTTCTCTCGTACTGTTTCACAAACAGTCAAATGTAGAGTGTCACGAAAATTGCGGTCGATTTGGAAATTTTGTTTAACTCTTTCAGGACGATAGGCTCGTATAATACGGTTAAAAAATTCACATATTTTAAGTAATAAAATTAATATTCATTAAGATGAAGTTATTTAAGCATATTTGAAGGAGGTACAGGGTGTTTTAAATTTTCCATTTGAATAAGATTTTTATTTACAGTTTTGTAGGAGGATGGTTAGTTTAAAATGCACTTTTTTTCTGTTTCAGGATCTGCAGATCATATATTATGGTCTGCTGGGTCTGGAAGCGTTACGTCCGTGCAGAGATTCCATTCTCCGTGGGCTTTGCAAAATTGTACGATATGAAAGGCACCATGCGAACCATGTTCTTTACTAGTAAGTATTTTATTTTTCTTTTGTAACAGATTTGTGTCATTTTTAAACCTATAATTCGTTCCATTTCACGTAGAAACTATTTTCAGGCTGAATACACGAACGAAAATGATTATTATCATTAGAATAAGCGCTTGTACCAATTTTTCCTAATTAATTTACGTTCGTTTTTATAGAAGTTTTCTACGTTGTCTGAAATAGATAGCTTGATAAAAAAGTAACAGGGAATTTCTTTATCGACAACATTTTTTATAGCTCTCGCTGTTTTATCGACGTGTTTCTTTCTTACCTCGTGCAGAAAACTACAGGGTGTTGTAGAAAAAGCGAGCATAGATGTCACTAGAATATTTACCGTTCAGTCGTCGGTTCCCGCGATTTTAAAGCAGTTGGTGGTGTTTGTCAGTGAAAGGGAAACATATTTTACCTTCGTGAAAAAAGAATATAATGCAGCAAGTATTTGCAAGTAAGTAGAACACACTCGTTCCACTCGTATCTTGAACTTGTTCCGAGATGAAGTTAGAAAACGTAAAACGATACGTCTAGCGATAGTTTCGATATAAAAGTTAACCTTTACGTTCAGTTTCGATATGTCAATTAGACGTGTATATCAATTACACGCGAATTCTTTCATTTCTAGCAGTAATTAATACAATACGGCAAACTTTCTGAATTATTTGTTCAATACGATAATGTTAACTGCCAGATACGTGTAAATTTACAAAATTCCACAAGCACGTTCTTTCGACAAATTCTTCATTTCGATTAACAAAATGGCGGCAGACCTCATTTTGAATTTCCATATTATTCCCTTTTATATAATTCTTACTTTACGTTAATAAAAATGATCGAAGATAAATACCGACGATACATTTTTATCGCATATAAACGAACTATTATCATATATTACAGACACTCTATTAAGACGTAATAATGCATATCTTTACCCATATGTGTACGAATGCGAGAAATGCGTTCACCATGTACGATATATTTTACGATCGTCTGCTAACGATCCATTTTACGATTATAAAGAACGAGTACAGTTTTTATATTCGTAAAATTAGTTACTGCTTTCTGATTAACGGAGCTGAGAACTTCCGGTGCGCGCAGTCACTTGTGAAAACGAGGAGATTTCACGACTAATCAAATATGATTATTACCTGCTTAATTTCGTTCCTATGGAATATTAACTCGCTGTTACAAAAACACATTATTATACGTTACATTTACGCGCCATATTCGAAATTTATATTTCCGTCTTTTAAGTATTAATTACAAGTCCTCTTTAATATTTTCAAACCTCGATACATCGAATTTATTCAATTTATATTTTACTCTGCATTTTTCTGCCATTACCGCGTCCCGTAAATTCGCGACGAATTTTATATCGAATATCAGGTCGATATTTCAAACATTCCCGTAAATTCTCTGGAAAAAACGTAATCACCTTCACATTCCACAACTTCTTCCCACTTTTTCAGCGGAGTCGTTACATCGTTGCCGTGAAACTTTGATTTCTCATTAAAATAGTTTTCATTTTTCACACAAATTTATGGAATAACTTGGTATTAAAGTGGAAATAAAAATTCGTGCAGGCATCACGGTATACCTTTCATTTTTATCGAAAGCACATTTTACAAAGAATATAATAGTACAAAATAAGCGATGTTGTTTTTGTCACACTATTTTAAAATTTTCAATTCTTCAGCGCGTACAGTATTCACAAATAAATATGAAAAATTCGTTGTTTACCTTATAGCACCGGCGAATTGGCCACGAGCTGGTACATATTGCTCTCCGGTTCTGTGTTCATCGATGGTTCCATGTTTCTCCCTCGTTCAAGGTAAGAAAATCATCGCATTGTTCAATTGAGAGTAATTCTCCAGTGCAGCAAGGAGCATTGTCAGATATTAAGGCTTTCGTGCAAAGAAATTGCGTAATTAAGACTGCAATCTCTTCAGTCAGACTTATTAACCCCTTAACGTATGACAACGTCTCAGACTCGCGGCAGAGATTCTGGTGAAGATGTGAGAAAAATAGTTATATTAGTGAGAAAAATTCATTGTAATCCTAACTTTCGTTTGAATAGTTTTCGTTCCAAGACCAAGGATTGCTAAATGTAATTAATCCGTGACAGATTAGCTTTTCTTACCTGATACGGTACTAAAATAGAAAATGGCCGACGCTTAGATGCATAGTCCGAAAGGAAATCATATGTTAAGGGGCTAATACAAAGACAGTGTATCTTAGAAAATGGATTGGATTAAAATGGAAGCTTCGCAAACACTTTCTTTAGGACTATTTCGCTTCTAAGAAAAAGTGTATAGGGAAATTTTGAAGGTGAATTTTCTGGCACAACTCCATCTTGCGCCGGACCTCGCCCAAATCTATATCCTCGATTACGATCGCACACTTTTTCCCTCCTGTTTATCACTTAACAATACTCAGCATCGTCGTCTCTCGTAACCGTACGAGAAACAGACGACAGATTTTTTACGTCGGTAGGAAACGACTTAAGCTGATTTATTTGAACGACTTCCGGCTCGGTTAGTTTGCTTTAATTTCACATAAGATTTACATTGCAAATGCAGCTCCCGTAACTCTCTGTACAGCGATAAATTCGCGTGGCTGTGTTTTGGAGCGGTCCGACGACGCCCATAAATCGCTGTTATTGTAATCATAATTCAGCATTTGTAATATCATCCGCGGACTTCACCGCGTTTCCGTAATAAATCGCCCCCGGTTAGATCCAATCGTCAGCTACCGATCGAAACTTAGTTTATCGCAATTAGGCCGAATTTCCATTGTAAAATGTGTGCGTTGCGCATTTCACCTGGCATCTACCCAAACCTTCTTTCCCTCTTTTCACTTTTCACCCCCTTTTTTCTTTCTTTCCTTCCTGTTTTCAATATCGTACTAAATTCGTTTCACGCGGAGAAGCTGCCGAGATAGAAATCGATCGTGGCGCGTATATCTACGGGGACTTGGTGTATGTACCGGGTGTACGAAAATATTGCGCTGCTCGAGCATTAGGTCATCTCGTAAATTCGTGTCGGAGGCGAAAGATGTTTTAATGAAAATCGGAAAAAAAATTTGTGGAACGAGAAGTCGTTTATTATTTTTTTTTTTTTTTTTAGCGAAATTTGTTGAAAACGTCGAGGTAGATTGTGAAATTCTAGTGTTACAGGAGTTACGCTGATAATTGAGGGAAAATTTCGATTGTAGAGGAGATAACGAAGGTTGGCTGCTTTGCAAATTCGCCAGTGCGAGTTTATGAATTAAGGGTGTTCGTTCGATTACAGTAGAGAGAGTTCAGTTAATAACGTGCAATTTCCTGGAATTACAGTTCCACGTCGATCGAGAATCGCTCGCTAATCTTTCGATTGCAAATTTATACGCGTGGTGTAACTGTTTCGTTGAATTTGATTCGAAAGGAACTGTTGCGGACGGTGTAATTTTCCCTTGGAAATGCGAACTCCGTTGTTCATTTAATTAACGGTGTGCAAATAATTAGAGGACATTTAACGTTACAAGGTATTATGGTAAATCTGATAAAGGAGAGTGTAATCAGACTTTGTGATATTGCATTGCATAAGATTTTCTTTGCGCTGTATAGTGCCTAAAAAAAATTGCAACTTTGCATTTTATGTTTTTTTTTTTTTTTTTTTTTTAAAATTTAATTTTAAAGAGAAAAATCTTCGTATTTTCCTAAAATTTAGCATCTCGATCATGCTGCACAAGTGTAAATGAAAAAAAGGTGACCGTGCAAGTTTCAAATGCATCGGATAAATTTCTCATCTCACCTGTGTCTTTTTAATTGTCCAAAAATTTCACTTTTGAATTAACTTACACAGTGGAAGTGAAGAAAAAGTTGAAGCACAACGGACGAGACTTTTATCACAGTTCTTCGTGGATTTTCCTAAAGTTTAACGTCTGAATCATCTTGCGTAGTAGACGAAGAAAAGTTGAACGATTGGTAGACTTTAACGTGGAATACGTTGACGATGCAAATTGTTCGCGCAATGTCGTTGGAAGTGATTTTGCAACTTCACGGTCACAGTGTATATCACGCACACAGAGGGAGCAGGCTCATAAATCGTTCTGTACCAGGGTTACGGTCGCAGTTTTCTCTCTTTGTGTCCCTCGAACCACGGAAATTCTCATTAATCGTGTAACCTCGTTCCTTGAAGGTGTAAGTGCGTCGGGACATTGTAACGGCGAATGTATTAGATAATCTACTTTTAATGAAATTCAATCACTGTGAAAAGAAAAAGCAAATTTTCACTGCATCAGTTTAATGCGCCGGCCTTCTCTCTTTTCCTCTTCTGCCTCGACAACGCGTATTAAGGGAACTTTATTTTACTCGTTTTTCCCTCGAATGATCGATCGCGGGGAGGGAGAGAAAAGAGGCTTGTGATTGTTTGTAGGTAAATTATGAACGGTATTATGTTAATTAATGGAAGGCTTGGATACTTGCGTCATTGCGTTGCAATGCGATGATGTTAATTAGGGAGTATTCTGTCCGAGTGATCTTCTCGTTAAATTTGGCAAAAGCAGTGTATTTTCGAAAAATTGAAGGAAATATTTTCGAAAAATTGGAAGAAATATTTTAGAAAAATTGAAAGAAATATTCTACAAGTCCCTTAATTGCAAGTTAAACGTTACGTATTTACAAAGTGTTCCATCAGAAAGATTTCCGTTTCTGCACGGATAAACATTTCACCGTATACCTCATAATGCTCCATTTCAGCATTTACCGATTTCGCCAGTTCCACTTCTAATACAAGCTTACCGTACTTCTTGCTCGTCTCGGAAGCATACCGCAGAAATCTTTCTGCATTTCAACTTTTCCAATTCTCCGTCTTGACACCGTCAACCAAGTGGAAAAATTCCCTCTCCCAGTCATTCCACCTTCAACATTTTCTCACCCATGTCTGAAACACACACTTTCGCGTCACGCATACCCGATAGGAGTATCCGCGCCTAAGTAGTTGTCATCTCGCG